TGCATTAACTTGTTTCTTGGTTGTTAGCGTCAAATAACAAAAGCCATTAAGATAGATTTGCACTAAAGGGGGTGGGGTGGCTGATTGCCCTTTCTTTTCCTTGGAATTGGAAGGTTTTGGACTTTGTTGTAAATTTTAGAGGCTTGTAGTTTTTAATGCAGAGGGATAACCTAGACATCAGTCAGTGCTCTCTGAATAAAACATAGAAATTTATATAGTGCTCATTTTTTTTCCTCTGTCTTCCTAGAGGGAATTGTTATTTTGCTTGGGTGAAAGAGACCAGCAATAAATTAGAGGGCTCTGTTATGATGTGCATTGAATTTACTGGGTTTTTACATTCTCAACTCTCTTCCCCCACCCCACCCCACCCCCTTTTTTTTATGCAGACTGATCTCACGATGTTGAAATTAACTGCACTTGAAAGTAATAAAAATCAAGACTTGGAAAAAAAAGAAGGTCGTATAGATGATTTGCTCAGGGTAAATGCAATAATAAGATTAATAGAAATGTTGGGTTATCTGTGATAAGTTAATGGAGCAGAAGAAAATATATGCTGTTTTAAAATGGCAACTGATATAGTTGTATTTGACTCAAAATACAGAAACAAAATGGCATAAAATTTGCTTATCATATTCTAAATATAATGTCCTCCCACATTTCCATATGCTTAAAATGAATTCTTTAGCCTCACTTCTGCTGGGAATTATTTTGTAAATAAATGCCAAGGTTTTAAAGAGAAGATACAACTGTACATTTATTTATATGTAATTTATAATCAGTATCCATAATATTATACTTTCTGTTAATTCTTAGGCTAATTGTGATCTACGACGGCAAATAGATGAACAACAAAAGCTACTTGAAAAATACAAAGAAAGATTAAATAAGTGCATTTCAATGAGCAAGAAACTTTTAATTGAAAAAGTAAGCTGGATTGTATTTTATTTGTATGTAGCATGTTATGGAAAGGACACTTTCCTTTGACCCTGTAAATCAGAGGATGGGACAGGAAGTAAGAGAGCCAGTTTGATCTAATGGTGAAGGCACCAGGCTTGAAAGCAGGAGACTGTGAGTTCTAGTCCCACCTTAAGCATGCAAGCCGGCTGGGTGACCTTGAGTCAGTCACTCACAGCCCAACTCACCTCAGTGGAGAAAACAGGAGGAGGAAGGAGTATTAGGTACGTTTGCCGCCTTGAGTTATTTATAAAAATAATAAAGGTGTTAGTAAGAAAACACCTACAGGGCTGCTGTGGTTGATACCTTGTGGGATCTTTCCTCCTACCTATCTGTAGTGTCATTTGCTCTAGTATCAAAACAGCTTATAGGTGCCAAGAGATGGGGCAGTTTCCAAAAACTGAATAAAATGGATGGTTTGTGGCTACTTTGACTGAATAAATGGGTACCCCGTGGCAGCCATTTTGTGGTGAATCCATAATTTTTCAACATTTCAGATTTTGAAATTTTTCAGATGTCAAAATATTTGTGACCCTGTAGTATGGCACTTGTGATACTGAAACATGTACATTCTATTTAGCTTTGGTAATTTCAGCTGATATGCTAAGTAGTGGAAGCAAGAGGCTGTTTCTAATATGAGAAAATCCAAACCTTGAATGAAGATAACTGGGTCCTACACAATAAATAAAAGCAATGAAAATAAGTAGAAGTACAGTTATCATTCAGGACCCTAAAACTAATGGTAACATTTTTGTTTCCTTTTTTATTTAATTTTTTATTTTAAAAATTATTATTTATTTCTTAAGAAGTTGTACAGAAAGGAATGAAAAAAATTACAAAAAGCAAAAAAATCCCAAAAGAAATACACGAAAAACTATGAAATTATAAAAACAAAAAACAAGCAACCCGCCTCCCCCAAATCCAAACCACTGATTATATATCACATATTAAATATCGAACAGATTTCTAAATCTATCTTAGGAAAAATAATAATAATAATTGATAATTGCATAACATTACAAAATATCATAAAATAAATACCACAGAGGAACATATTCATTTTTTGATTAGTAGATAAAATTGCCTTTTCAAAAACAATTAAGTCACACCTCTTGAATATTTTGGTTTCCTTAGAGCACACAAGAAAAGCTGGCAAGCAGAGAAAAAAGTATGCAAGACAGATTACGCCTTGGGCATTTTACAACTGTTCGACATGGTGCTTCGTTTACTGAACAGTGGACAGATGGCTTCGCATTTCAGAATCTTGTAAAGTTAGTCAATGTTTTGTTTTTAAATTACTAGTAATCATCAGTTCCCTGGAGTGGTTGATTTATATTAGTTCAAACAGCTAGTGCTGGGACTGGTTTTATACACACCATATTATTCTGTTTTGAAAATCAGAGAAACTGTAGAGAACTTGACTTAATCAACTGCTATTCCTCCCTCCCTCCCTCCCTATTTTAGGAACAACTAGTTGAGTCTAATTCAAAAGGAGAATATTGACCACTATCTATAAAGATAATTATAAACGTAGTCCACAGATTTCAGATTGGCCATTGTCTATAAATAGCTTGCTGGTCTTTTGTTAAGGGTCTCAAATCCACAATATAGCAGGTCAGTAAGTAATTAGTATGCATGGTTGCAATAAACCAAAACCATCAAATAAGACAGAAGTTAATGGAATATATAACTAGTTTTTAAAAAGTACAATTTCTGCAGTTTAAAGACAATATTTTGATTTGCAGGCAACAGGAGTGGGTAAACCAACAAAGAGAAGATATTGAAAGACAAAGAAAACTTCTGGCAAAACGGAAACCTCCATCTACAAATAATTCTCAAGCACCTTCTGCCAATTCAGAACCTAAACAGAGGAAAAACAAAGCTGTCAATGGAGCAGAAAACGATCCATTTGTTAGGCCCAATTTACCACAACTGTAAGCTCAGAATATTTACTTGGTGGTTAAAGACAAATGGATGTATACAGGGGCATCTGTGGCAGGGTCAGCAATGTCAAAATGGCAGGCATGAGCAACTGATCAAAGCCCCCCTCCCTCCTTCAACAAGCTTTAAAAAGGGAAAGGTCTTTGATCACCTGGTCGTGTCTATCATTTTGTTATTGTTGACACACACACCCCAGGACACCACATATATGTGTTAGTACATACAATATAAATACATAAAACACCTCTCATGACTGATTGTTACAGTTTTCTTTCTGTGGGAATTCATTAGTATTAAGTGAATGGGGCTATATATAAGGACACTAGTAAAAGGGAATTATCATTTTCACACAATTTTCAGTGTGTGGTGAGCACTTAGGTTATTTTTATGTGTGATCAACATTTTTGTTAATTGCTTGCTCTCTCCCATAAAACTGAGTGAGGCTAGGGAGGAACCTGTACTCCGGGGTTCTTCTGATCATACTAATTATATCTTCTCCCACCCCTCTGAAAAGGAACTTTTTTCTTACATGATCATTTTGGTTGCAGAGATATAATAAAATTTGTTTTTTATAAATACCCATATTTGTGAAAATGTATAGCTTAGATTAGACTAGATTTTAATGGTTGATTTCAAGAGGAGTATGCTGATTTATGCAGTTAAATACAACATCTGAATATACTTTTTTTTTTAACAAATTCATAGAAGGATTTTATTCTGGATGATTCTTAAAATCTTTTTCATTATCTCTAAAGTTTGATTTCTTTGAAACTCTTATTTTAGTGGAATCAGTAGTTTAGTGTTAAAATAAAATAAAGCATGTTTCTTAATGGGTAATCCCACATTATTAGACCTCCAGTACCACTTCTCTTTTCCTAACATATGAAGCTCTTCAGACCAAAAGTAGTGGGGATACTCAACAATATAGATAGGTATTTTGTTCTCCTAGAGAGGAAAAAAACAGGGGGGCGGTAACTTGCATCTTGGAATACTTTATTCTTCATCCAACTCTTGGTTATCCAGAAGGCAATTGTTTTTGGAAAGTGCTGCAAAATAGGGCTGGGTACACTTCAAAAATTATTTGGGGAAAATCACTTATGACCTTACAGAAGCATAGCTGTCTCTCACGTTTGTTAAAGCGGATTGATTTTTTTTTAGGGTTCTCTGTGAACCTGAAAAAAATTGTGGCTGCTTTAAAAGTTGCTTGAACTTCAGTAAGCAGATTTCTTATAATGATTGCAGGACCTCGCAAAAGTCTGAAAAATGTTAGACTGTTTTAGTGAATAGAAGGTAGGTGCTGCACTCATGTCAGGTCAAAGCACAAGCTTTGTGGCATATCAGTTTTGAAGCATGCACAGCTATAATATAGAAGGTAGCCTTCTATGTGTATAGAACAGTAATGTGTTCTTTTTTTTAACATGCAGTTATTTTCCATTTGATTTTTAATACTTTATTACTTGTACTTACCCTTGTAGGCTAACGCTAGCAGAATATCATGAACAAGAAGAAATTTTCAAGCTTAGATTAGGACATCTCAAAAAGGTATGTTTAATACTTAAATGTAATCTGTTTTTCCTAATCCAATCTTAGATTTGATTAGTTTGAAGTGCTGTGACCACACAAGAAAGCCGCTGTACTAAACTTAGTCTCCTATGAATGGTAATGTTGTTGTGCCTTTCTAGAAAATCAGTTGTTTGCTTACTTCTGTATTGTGCAGATAACAGCTGCTTCATTTAAATGCTTTTAAAAATATCATTACTATGTACCACGAAATACAGTTATCCATAGAGCTCTGTGAACATACACGAGCAAAAATAAATGTCATTAGAACCAACCTGCAAACTTTGGTACATACTTAATTTCATTAAATAATTTAAAATATCAACATTTTCCTGAAAATATATGTTCCACAATTCAAAGAACAGATTCAGTTTTAAAATTCATGATAGATTACATTTCCCCTCTTTTTGAAATTATACTAATTCACACTTTTCCAAAATTAATTTAACCAGTCTTTTACTGGTTGTCCATCAACAAATATTCCTTAAATGATTTCAGTAACTCTTTTCCAGAATTGCTGAAAACTTATTCTTACCTACAACATTAAAAAGCACTTATTCTTAATGAAGATGCACATTTGAATTAATTATTTTGCTTAAATGCCAGTTGCAATGAATTTTAAAACAATGAGGTTTTTCTTCAGAATCACAGTAACTGAAATTTTAAATTAATTTTCAAAGATTATTTCTTTCTTTTTTTGTGTGTGGTCAGTGCTGCAATTTTTTAACAACTCATCTTTGAAAACTGGATTTTCCATTTGTCTTATTTTTCTTTCACTGTTGCTTCAAGCAATCTTTTAGAGATCTATGATTATACCATTAAATTTTCATTCCAATGTGATTGTTGTGCTACTTCAGTTTCCCACTAAGTAGTTGGAGGACTATTTAGAAAAATGAACTCCATATGCTATTTATATGTGATATAAAGACATATATCAACAAAATGAACCCTAGATATATATTTATGAAATGTCACAAATACAACAATACTATATTGACAGTAAGTCAATTCACTTAATAAAAAGAAAATTACGTATGTGAATAGCATATGGAGTTCATTTTTCATTATGGCTTGCCTTCCTTAGTTCTTTGAAAGTTTCTTACTTAATAAATATTACTTCAGGCAGTCCATTTTTTTCAATGTTTTTTGCACGTCCATATACAGGAATGGTGGATTATCTTTAAGGAGATCCAGTATGTTCCTACCCGCATTCCTGTTCAGGGTTTCTGTTTTATAAATTATTGCGTATAAATATTAGAATTAACCAAAGAATTGGTATCTGATCTGCCTTTAGTTTGGACTGAACTTTTTTGGGTTGGCAGTTTTTAACTCATCTTTTATGGGCTCAGAAGCTAAGCAGGCCAGGCTTGGATAATACTTGGACAGGAGACCACCAAGGAATATTCAGGCTATAAATTAGACTTCGAAGTCAGAAAGCATCCTGGAGGAAGGCAGTAGTAAACCAAATCCATATTGTTGCCAAAATAGTAAATGGATGTGTTCATGAAATACCAGAAATTGAGCTAGACTTGAAAGGACTTGACTTTACAGAAGTAGTAATCTTTTTCTTTCTTATTACTGCCGTTAAAGCACACTTCTAAATCATAATGATCTTGCTCAGGGTTTTCTTCTTGAGAAGAAATTGAGAGCCCTTTTAAGAGTCCCACTATCTATACTGCTAAACTATACTGCGTACGTGCGTGTGTGTGTGTGTGTGTGTATACATATATATCCCCTCTGCCAAATAATCACAAGGACTGGATATGAATACAAGTTCAAGAGTGGAACTACCATCAGCCACCTCCTCTACATTGATGACATCAAGCTGTATGCTAAGAGTGAACGAAACACTGACTCAGCACGGATCTACAGTGATAACGCTGGGATGTCATTCTGACTGGAGAATTGTGGCCAGATGGTAGTAAAGAGTGGGAATGTAGTTAAGACTGATGGGGTGGAATCTGGTAAGCGGGCCACATAGCAGACATACAGACCAGCTACAAGTACCTTGGTATCCCACAGTCACATGGGAACCACGATGAGGCAAGGAAGACAGCAACATACAAGTACCACCAAAGAATAAGACAGGTCCTGAAGAGTCAGTTCAATGGGAAGAACAAGATCCACGCCATCAACACGTACGTCCTGCCAGTCATCAGATACCCTGCCAGTATAGTGAGCTGGCCAAAGGAGAACATGGGGGCTGCTGATGTGAAGACTCGGAAGCTCCTCACAATGGATGGAGGTTTCCAGCCCAAGTCCAACACCCAGAGACTGTACACCAGGTGGAAAGAGGGCAGGCCGGGTCTGGTGAGTGTCAAAGCCACTGTCCTAGATGAAACCCAGAGCATACAGGAGTTACATCAGTAAGATGTAACCAAACAATGAGCTGCTGAGAGAATGCCTGAGACAGCAGCAGACATGGGAGGAAGTTCAAGCAGAGGTAGTGCCATGGCAAGACAAGATCCTGCATGGGATGTACCATCCAGAGCTGAGGTGGCTGACATTGGGAAATCCTACCAGTGACTGGAAAGGGCTGGACTAAAAGACAGCACTGAGGCACTGATCATAACAGCACAAGAACAGGCTCTAATCAGCAGATCCACAGAAGCAGGGGTCTACCACACTAGACAGGACTCAAGATGAAGACTGTGCAGAGAGGCCTCAGAGACAGTCCAACACATAGTGGCAGGGTGTAAGATGCAGTCAGGAACAGCATACACTGAATGGCACAGCTAAGTAGCTGGCATTGTGTACAAGAACATCTGCACAGTGTATGGGTTAGACCCTCCCTAGTCCAGATGGGAGATTCCACAGAAGATCATGAAGAATAAGATCCTGTGGGGCTTCCAGATCCAGATGGACAGGCAGGTACTGGCTAATCAACCAGACATCGTGGTAGTAGACAAG